CGGTGATCCGGTGGCATTTCTAGTTCACCTGTGTGTAAAGACCCTATGGGACCCTATATATAGCCTTAGGAATTCCATCTCGAAATGGTAATCACCGTAATGCGTACGTCGGAGCTTTCAATTATCTTACACATTGAGACTGATTATACTGATAGTTACGATACCGTCACAGTATCCTACGTACTTGTGTATCCAGCATGCAAACATAATACGTACATATTCTAGTATTGAAGGCTCTATATGTGGAGAACATTGGCCGGTAGGCCAATGGGGGGCCAATGTCCCACACCCCTCAAAAATTCTCTTAAGCCTCAGGTTAATTTGGCGAGCCAATCTCTCCACCTCTTAGTTTCTAATACTGCAGGGGCGATGTAGGTAGCTAGGAAGGGCGTCCTCCTCAGGGAAGCAACTGGGTTTTGTCTTTTGATCGAAGCACCACTGGCCAACTTTACAGTATCAGCAGGAACTTTTGGACTTTAATATGGTTACCCTTTAGAAAGCAGAATTAAGCAGGCTTTCTTTCAAGCGCGGCCCGTGCTGTTTACATTGACTGCATTTCAAGGGGCTTGGAATGGTACATAGAGCTGTACATTAGGAACAAAAAGTGCACCACCGCTTGCACTGCTGTTGCTTGTCAATGAAGTGAGGAGCGGGGGTTCCATGCTAACCTTGAGGTGAGATAGAAACACCTACTGTATTGAGACAAAATTTATTTCTGTAGCAGCGCAGGCTAGCTATCCTGACTGACTCTGAAATCAGATCAAACCTGAAGAAATTACATGTGTGTGGTACCCCATCATTCACAACAGTGGCAAAATCTGTGAAAGCTGGCCCTCCTGAAGTCAATGTCATTCTAAAGGACATTTAGGCCAGTTTTCCATAAAGTTGGAAAACTGACAAAGTTCCTAGTACCGGTTTGCCACCGCAATAAGAAAAGTCCGCTTACCCCCTGATGTTTACAGCAGAAAACTGTTCCCTATAGGAGCTCTGGGAGACAGCATTGCCTTTTGGCTGGCTAATCTATTGGTGCCAAAAGTTCAAGTCTGCCGGGGGGCATAGTACTTTCGCATTTCAATGTTGCATTCGCTGTGCCAATCGTGGAGGTATTTACTGTGCAAGTTCTGTATAGCCACAGCTGAGATCATTTTGAAGGGTCAACCTTCCAAATTTAACGCAGAACTCCAGTCACTGCTATGTTGGTGGCTTCCAATCCTTCGCTCTTCATTTGCCCTGCCTGTTTGAGTCGCTTTCTCTCATTTGAGAGATCAGCATGCTTAGAAGCGTTGCAAAGACCGTGCCTCTTGTTTCGCCTCTCCTCAGCCTACCTACGGAACAACCTACATTCCTTCAATTGATCTCAGCAACTTCGTCTCGCTCTTTCAACGTCAAAGACCAGCAGTTTTGGTCTGAATAGAGCCAGCCTATGTCATTTTAAACCCGCAAGCAATTGGAGATCTTTTTGAGTAGAACTCTCGTGTGTTACAGGTTAGTTCCAGGTAAGTTGAGTAGCAACACCGTTCTTGGCCCCAACCCAACAGAGAGTTGCAGCTGGTCCAGAGACATGGCGTTTATCCATGCGGCAAGGAACCAACTTAGACTGGTAAGGAAACAACACCTTCTTCAATTGAGGAACAACTGACACTTGGTTTATGAAATAGGATGTACTTTGGGAACAGCATGGCCTATTGAGTTCTGTCCTGATGGGGTCATGACTCATTTTCCACATGATATTCAGCGTTTTTGAGTGAACAGACTGGCTTCTGAGAGGCTGTCTATGTCCAGAGCAACATACACCTCCTGAACGTGTTGTTCTCGTATCAAACAATTTCTAGACCTCTCAAGCTTTCTTCCACTCTTCTTGGATTCTGAACTATTTATTTGCTTGCTCTTTGCAGGGTATACTTGACAGTCCCGCAGATGGCAAGGCCTTTCAAAGGGTTCACCAGTCGGGGACTCAATATAGTCCAAGTGCGGCAATACTAGGGAGAAAGATAAGTTCAGCTGCAATTCTCTTCGTAATCTTGCCGCAGCACACCTCTGGACAGGTTGTCCAGCCGTCGAGCTACCTCCTGCTGTCACACCCCTCCATCTGCTGTTCTTACTCCCTCGCCATGCTTCTGCTCACCCATCATGCGCTTCTGCTCCGGATCTTGACCAGGTCCGCTTTTTGGTTCCAGATGTGCTTCTACTGCTTGCAAGAGAAGAACATGTCTTTGCCCTCTTATATCATTGTAGTAAATGCTTGGACTGTTGCTTGGACTTTCCTACTTAAACTGATGCATTGACATTCTCTGCCAGTTCTGGCCGATAAGCCCCAGTCAACGCACAGGGGGAAAACCGTAGCTCCTATGTTTCGGGCAGATCTTCAAGTCTTGATGGTCTCGTTCTTCCTTCTCTGCACAGATGCTCTTGTTGGACACGACCTCTGTTGAGACCGCAGTTGCCGACGTTCGTCTGGCCCAATGCGCAATTGACACCATTCCAGACAAGTCACGATAGCAATCAGAACCCTGGCAGAAAGAGCGTCAGACGGAGGTTGTCATTGTGCCGGGTAAGCCCCTCTTCCATTACATACTATCCCGTTGGCACTGAACCTTGTCTTGGTGAGTTAGCCCGTTCTTGTTGATATCTCAGCCCGGAAAAGACTCACCCAGGGGCCTTTCCTGCTTATGTCTCCTTCAAACTCACGCAATAACATTCGAGAAGCGTGACATGCTCATCTTGAACGTAATTTTCCTCCGACTTTGGATTGCGCCCAATACGCTGGCTGCTTCGAAATCGTCAGACGTCGAAGCCTACTCAAAAAGCTGCGGGGCCCAAATCGTATGTCTCATTGAAGGTTGTCCCTGTATAATTATAAATCCTCAAAGGATCAAGGTTTCAAGGCTGCTTGACTCAAAAGTGCATCAGAAGTCGAATTCCCGCTTCCAAGGAAACGGACCGAGCCTCGGGCTTCTATCTGAAGAAGAAACTCTGCTTTGTATTGCAACGTGGTCGACATGCCTAGTACGGGTTAAGGAGGGACGATAGAGTAACCGACTGCAATACAGCAGGTCAGAAGATCGACTGTTCGTGTCCAAGTCAGACATGATTGTCGCCGCTCTTCTCCAGGCATCCGCCGATCAAAGTGGGGCTCCCCCGGAGGAGCGGGACTTTTTTGTGGAGAACGAGGGGACGGTGCGGGCCCTGCCATTGATCGCGGGCGGAGTCGGGGGCTTGCTGGTGGTTCTCAACCGGGCAGTCTCAGGGATCGCGGCCGTTGCTGACGCAAGCAGGTGAACATAGATTTCTACATCGCTTCTTATTCCGCTTTGTTGTTCTTTATCGTTCGTTTCTCAACTTCGCAAGCCATGCTGGAGCGCTTTTTGTTCCGCTTCGTTTGCTTTGTCGTTCATCTCACAACCCCGCAAGCCATGCTCCTCCGAGCGTCAAGTCGTTGTCAGCCTCTTCTTCTCGGAGATCAAAACATCCAATTCTGCGGGGTCGGTAAGACGAGATCAGAAGGACGTGCGCGTTTCGGAAGCAACTCTCGGGCCCTTGAACCTCGCACCCAAGATGTTGTTTTCAACAAAGTGTTCGATAGCCACCGCAAAGGCGGGGAGTAGGGTATATCGTCCACTCCAATCGATTTCGCACCTGATGAATTGCAGACTGGCCGTGCAACATCTTATGTGCCAGTTTGAAAGTGCCCGAGACTGATTCCAAAGTTTTCATCTGCAGCGCGCAGTCCCGTGCGGACGTCCTGGTGTTGGTCCTCGCCGCGACGCTACTGCTCACGGGGCTCGTCTGGAGATCGATCCGGTCCCGGCCGACGGTGTCCGTCGAACTAGACGGCGTGCCGTGCCTCCGCGTAAGCCCGTCGCTACCGAAAGCAGCGAAGGGCGAGCTCCTATGGTGAGCCATCTGTAATCCGGAGACGGGCAATCTTGAGCTTCGGTCAAGCTTACTGTAAGCTGGGAGGGGGCACGTTAGAGCGCTTCTGGCGAGCCATCCGCAAAATTGGAAGCCGGACCATTCTTTACCATAAGCCGCTGCTTTCAGTATCGTCGAAGCAGAACGTCGATACAAGTACTCATATCTGAACTTGAATAGCGAGCAAGGTATAGCCCGACTAACAAAAATCGTTCCTCCTCCGATCTCGAGTTTCATCCGAAGCAAAGTCAGTCAATTGTCACAGCCCTCCTCTGCTACTTTATCAGGGCGTGGGACCTGCTGCAAAGGGCGACCAGATGCCGGGCTCTCGTGGTAATCTACCGCAACAAGGTCGCCCTCCAAGCGGGCGCCGCCCGGGCTTCTGAGAGGGCCGACGAAGCCGCCGAGATTGACGCCTCCGAACTAGTGCGGGGAAAAATCTCGTCGGCTGTGCTTCGAGCGGGAAAAGCAAACTACTTCGCGAATCTGGCGCTGTTCCCGGGACGATTCGAGTTTCTGGGGTTCCTTCCGGAGAACACGCAGGTGAAGATTTCGAGCGACATTTGGAGGGATGTTTCAGGGAGTGTTCATATAAGAGTCTGATACATGACATCAGAAGAATACCTTTGCACGTAAAGGGAAGCGATGTCTGTTCTACAGGTGTGTTGATGTTGATGATCCTTTTTGATGATCCTTCAATTAGTCGGTCAACTTTCAAGGGAATAAAAGCTTCGCGGAAGCACAGATTGCACTTCATTCTGAAAGGAGAAGAAATCAAGACATTGATTGCTTGAGACACTGGTTGATTCGGAGATTGGCGCCGAAACGGATCAACTCGAGAAAGGTAGTGTGATGCTTGGACGGTGCCATTCGTGTTTGCGTTTCGCCAGACAACCAGCAGACGTTTCGAGTCTTTTTCCGCTTGGTCGCTAGTTTGAAACTACTCCGATTGAGAGTTTTTGCCAATCAATCTGTCCGGCTTCTTTCGCTTGGTTCGGAAGCTAAGTGGATGCAGTGCCCTTGTTCGAGTTTCCGCTCGTTCGTCTAGCTGTCTAAGAAGAACAGTCAGTTTCTTACCTTGAACTCCGGAGTATCTGAAGTATCTGCTGTCGTACTGCAACAACAATCTGATTGCTCTACTCAACAGCGGGTTGCCCTTTCATGCAGGGCTTGATAGTGCAGCCTCTAGGCGACGAAGGATTATTGCTAGCAGCGACTGATACCGTTCGAGGCTTTGTTCCAAAAGACCAAGCATGGATTGCCACACTTGGAGAGAAACTAGACACCACCTTACAAGATTGGAAAGATGGAGACGAAAAGGTTGTTGAGGAGACACCCCCCAAACGGACGTTAACATCTTTGTAACAGTGCCTTCATCAGTTGACGTGACGTGATGGGCCCAACAATCGAACGTCCGCCACTTGCACGGCCATACTATGAAGGCACTGTGAGGATTTGCATTGGCCAAAATATTAAATGTAATCCCTTGACTAGCCTGGTCGCGTCTTGCTTGGGCGGCATCATTGCATATAACAACGGTTCTACAGTGGAACTCCTTTGTACACGTGACCAAGAACTGCAATCTGGGAGTGTGGACGGTTCCATTCATATCTCAAAATCCTTCGTTGTCCTTTCCAAGCCTGCCGTTGCATAGTGAAGAGCACATCCTCACAAATGAATATGCATCATGCATAGTAATGTCGTGATACACAGCTTCAATTGGCGGTGCAAGTGCAACTGCATGACTTCAATGGAGCTAGAATCCGGTCATGTATACCCACTGTAAGCTGCTTCAATGCAAGGGAGGCTTAGAACGAGATTGTGAGGGGTTGCCAACCAGCACTGGCAGCATGGTCAGAGCCGCTTGCATCCTCAACGATGCTAGATCACAGTCATCATGCACACGGTAGTGTCATAAACCGGGGATTTTGAGAGGAACCCGATTCGAGTTTGTGCCCGGACATGCATGTTCCATAGGGCGCCTGGCCAGTACTCCGCCGACTTCGATTGGTCGGGCGCGCACACCGATGACTATGCTTGCCTGGCAACATTGACACCAAACGGTCACACCAACCATCGTGGTGTTGAGGGCTCAGCTGGAAAGCCCTCCAGCAAGGAGAGGTACACCAAAGGAAGGGCGGTTCGATTGGAGGCTTCGCCGCATGCTGTGAAGCACATTTGCATTTTGTCCGGCAACAAGCGCGTTTGAGGGTCCATGAGAAGGTACATCTTTCAGATACTGTCTTTGAAGTATTCTCCTCATTGCATTAAGTGGGCACCGGAGCAGTCAATGCGGCGGAGTATCAAAGTGTAGATTCTCAGGTGAGCAGACAAACGTAAGCTTCGGGAGCTGCTGATTTCAGCACAGCATGCACTTCTCGGTAGCGCAATCTTCCAATTCGAATAAACGAGGAGCTTCTTCGCAGCTGAAACCAAGCTGCACGTCGGGCACTCTCCATGATTAGTTATACTTCTGTCACTGTTGATTGTGTGTCTGAGCAGACACACATGAGAGCGGCAACTCCTAGCAGAGACATTGTGTTTCTTGGGCCTATCTTGTGACTTTCTGGCTCTCCCGTTGATCGTGCCTCACCAGCTGCACATTTTGGTACACAAAGAAAAGTTAGGGCACTGAATCAAGCACTCCCAGAGCACTCCTTGGGTGCGGAATGCAAGTGCGGTGGGAAGATGAAGCGCTTGTGTTTACCAGACATCATTTACTCGCCACCTGCATCATACATTGGCTGCCGCCAGCATGTCACATGGTAGCTGCAACAGATTGCAGTTGCGACGAGGTTCCGTTTCTCCAGAAAGGTGCATTGCCAAAAAGCAATTCGATATCTGCAAAAACTTGTGCTGGAAAGGGCAAAACTTGACAGAGATGAGCAAATCTTACACCAAGTACTGAAAGACTACCTTCTCAAATAAGAACCAGACTCAAGCGGTGCTTTTCTCTGTCTCCAGGTATCGCCACTGCTCCATGTTTCAGTTGGCACTGCATCCCTCCCTGGTTCGAGGAGCCAGATTGCGCGGTGCCGCAAGTTTATTATAGCGGAAGTAGAGGGATGTAACTGTCACTGGGATTCTCAAAGCCTTTCCTTTAACCACCCCCCCTAAAGCAGAGCCCCCCACATTGCTACAACTCTGAACCAGATCCCATCCCTTCAACAAAACCCCTTTCTCTCTATCAGGTTTCTGATAGGAATCAGCCCCCTGCAATCAAACCCACCTCTTATCAGCAGAGCCTTTTCCTGTTGATCCACCCACCCGTCAAGCACCCCCCCTCTGTCACTTCCAGGTGCAAACCAACAATCACCCTTGTTGGGTCTTCCCACCCTGGTCCGCAAGCCCCCAAATCCGTATCGATGTTTCGCTTTGTGACCGAGCAAGCGCGCTCGGTGGGCACTTTCGTGTCGAAAGTTTTGAGCCCCCGGGCGGCAGCGGCTGACCATGCCACTCACAGCGGCCTTGACACTGCTCTCTCCAGCAGCGCGTTCGACGAGAAACTCGAAGAGGCGGCGGCCGAAAGCACCCCTCGGGTGAATAAAAGTTCCGCCGTTCTCGGGGGTCCAGGTTCTGCTTTCCCAGAAGCTGCGCCGGCGCTTGAACAGGAAGATGGAGAGGGGTCCCAGCCGGTGGCAAAACCAGAGACGGCAAAACTGACCCCGCCGACACCAAAGGGCGCGGAAGGGGTCACGGAAGCAGCGGTGTCAAAGGGGGTATCAGGTGGTGTAAGTAGGGAGACCCAGAAGAGTCCGCCGAGAACCCCGAACGCGCAGGGAATGAAGGGAAAGGCAAGCAAGAAAGCGGAGTCCCAAATGGGGGAGGAGGTGGAGTCGTCGGTGAGGGGGATGAAGAGATTGGCAGACTTGAGCGATGAGACTCCGAAGGTCAAGAAAAGCAAGGTGGGAGTAGCAGGAACAACGGTTGAGGGGAGGAATGCGGGAAGGACAGAGGGCTCGGGAGGCAAAATGGAACAGGTGCACAAAGAGGAAGTGGGAAAGAAAGTGTCCGAAACCAAAGTGAATGGTGCGTCAAAAGGGAGGGAGAAGGTGGCCAAAGGGGAGGAGAAACGGACGCCGAAACCGGCGAAAAGGTCGTCTCTGGTGGCGGAAGAAAGGGTACCAAAGACGGGAAGGAAACAAACTGAAGGAGAAGTCTCCGAGATTGGTGTGAACGAGCAGCCGACCCCTAGAGCGAAGAAGGTCAAAGCAGCTGCGAAAAGGGATGGGACGGAGACCCCGAAGGTAGGGGACAAAACGGGGCCTTCAAAGGTGAAGACAACGGCGAAAAGGCAGGTTCAAGGAACGCCGAAAGCAAAGGGCGGCGCCGAGAAGACGGAAAGTGCGGCAAAGGCGACTTCAAAAACGGCGGGGGTGAAACGGAAAGCGGAGAACGAGGGGACGGCGTCTGGGCGAAAAGCATCCGGTGGGGGGGTTGGGAAGGCTGCCAAAAGGGCGGGGGGGCAGGAGCTCGAGGGGAGCGAATACCTGGGGAAGCGGATAAAGGTTAGACTCCGGGGTCCCTGCTTTCTTTGGTTCTCTGGCTCTTTGCGTTTCTCGCCTTTGGGCTGCTGATTTCGATCATTCCGCTGCAGTGTGCGTTTCGTTCGTTTCTTTGGGTGGAGCGACTAGTCCGCGCTGTGGTCGGAGCTTCACGGGAGTGCCAAGTCCGCATGCTCAAACTTGGTGCCCACAAGACGGTGCTCATACTTGGTCGGCCGTGGCTGCTTCGTGGGTCCTGCATTTGAACCACTCGCGACAACGCAGACTTCAGAGCGACTTGGACCACGAGGCACATCAGTGCACAGAAATGATACTCACGAATAGCCTGCAAACGACGAGTCTCGCTGCAGAAGCTTCATAGGAAAAGTAGAAAAACACAGATGCGAAGCACGTTTTTGACCCCAAATTCTGGAACATTCCAAACGTGGTGCTGAGATTTTCTGTATTATGTCCACCAGAGATGCCTGAGGATGACCTTCATTCCGAAAGCATAAAAAGTTGTTACCAGACAAGTTTTGACATTTGATGCATCCTTACAGGTTCTGTGGGAGAAGGGCGTCGTGAAAGGCGTGCTGAAGGACACGTGGTATGAGGGCCTGGTGACGTCATATAGCAGCAAGTCGAAGCTCCACGGCGTCCAGTATGACGACGGTGACTACGAGGACGAGGATCTGTCGCCCGCTTCTCCGACCAAGTTTCAGTTAGTAAGCTGATAATGTTTGCTATCCAGTTTATATGAGGCACTCGAAGGTAGATTCAAATCACGTACATGTTTGTTGAATGGATTGACGAGACCTATGCCTGTCTTGAGCTAGAAACCAGGTCGGACGTGATTCATTGTCAGCCGCAAGACCGAGAGACGTGGCAGGATGACGTACCTTATTGAGCGGTGCCTCCTTGGTTACAGAAAACTTAATTTTGACTGGGCCCGGGTTAGAAATGGAGCCTGTCAATCTTTTGCCGTCTCAATCAGGTTGGAATGGCCGTTTGCAACTTGGGGTCCACGCATATTGCATGGCAAATGCAAACTCGGAGTTCAGTTTGGGGACTATATAATCTACAATTATTCGAAATTTCGTAACTTCATTGTGTCTCAGCCTCGGCCGCCGCGTTGACTTGTAAGCTGCAAAGAATATAGCTGGACATACTGAGGTATATACACAATATGGAAATGTGCCCGCGGTCAGTGTACATTGCTTGGCCGGTCGATGCACACCTACCTGACTCGGTGATTTTCTATTGCGTATCTGCATCATATGAACGTCAAGACAGGGCCAGTGCCATTTTGACTGCCAGGTGCGGAACCCGGATATCGGATCCCGGACGTCCGCCGACCCCTGGCATGCAAGGCCATGGGTATCTCTGGCGCTGGCACACAAGCGCGCAGCGGCGTTTTACTTGACACTTAGCTTCATTAGTATATGCACGCTTTCTCAGCATGCCAGACGGTTAGATCATTGTTGCAAGCATGTATAACGGTAGCGCCGGATGTGACGGTAGCGCCGGTCGGACCATGGCGCTGGGTACCATGAGAAATGATCATTGATCTCAAGACCGCCCTGATTGAAAGGCGGCCGCCAAGTCAAGGTGCGTTTGCCAAATTCACGGTCTTGATGCATCCGAGGTGATGTTTACATGTGAACAACCCAACCACTCAGGAAATCAGGATCATAAAGAAGGTGTCCGGACGACGGTCGAACGAAGGCACGGGCATGATTGATGTATTGCATGCTCAGCTACCATGTAGAGTAAGGCGTCATAAACGAGCATTCCCCGGCCCGCGGCATAAACCCGCCACGCTGCGCTTACTGGGCAAAAACGCACTAGCCGCTGGGGGCCCTATGTGCCGTGAGCATCTTCTTAATTTTAGCTATGCGGCATTCTTCTTACATGAGCATGCGCAGGGAAAATGTAAAAAGCATGAAGGCAGCCCGACCCTAAATGACATCATATAATGCCAAATCTGTACGCTTGGATTTACCCCAGCCTCTTTCCCTCTTTCCATGCTGCTGTGTTTTAGCCCACGATCTTACATTTCGGAGTTGGATGCTTGTACTAGAGACTTATTGACATTTTCCTTACATGAGAAGAGCGACTCTATTATGCCTGGCCGTGCCTGCGGGCCTTGAGAGTATTGCGAGCACCCGTCATTTTCTGGTGACCATTTGCAACTCAATTCGAACCTCGTTTCCCTTATATATACGGACGTTTACATTTCCCCTGTCTTTACGACAATTCAAATAGGAAACCACAATTGCGCCTACCTTGCAAAACTGCAATCGTGTCTAGCAAAAGTCACCAACCTAGACAGCCGCTTCGAATGGAATCTATAAGAACATATACCGGTCCCAAACGGCCTCTGTCGTACACATCAAGAGCTCGTCTACGTACGTGTACGTGCAGCACATTAGTCTGTCTCTACGTGGCTCCTTGGTAAATTGAGACGGTCACCATGTCCTTCAAATGCTTCATGTATTCAACTTCTGTCTCGTGCTTTTTAGTCACAAAGTCCTTCGACTCCTCCATGAAGGCCAGGTAGTCGGGCGCTCCCGGAATCAGGACGTTGTCCGCGATAACCACTGAGCCTTGCTTCAGAAACCCTTCGCTTATGAGGAGCTTCAGGTCGCTGAGGTAGAAGGACTTGTCGTGGTCGAGAAAGACCATGTCCAAATTGTGTGCTCGCGCTTTCAGATCCTGCAACAGAGTCACGTAGATAAGAGATGCCAAATATCTGCGGGGTCTCCAGCGCTGAGTTTTAAAAGAATATCTGACATGTCTTCCTCTGTTCAATCTGATGAAATGCTTCAATGTCGTAGGAGAATGCATTTTGGGAAAACAGTTTCAGAAGTTCATCCGATTGAATTTATAGGTCAAACGGTTCAGCCAAGTTTAGCAAGGTCTTTGTGTGGAATGAAGGCCTTCACGGTAGTCAGCGTGAACCAGATGGATTCTACACCGTATCAATGTAACCTAAGTGCAGACAGCAAGCGTAGAGACGCTTCCATTCGGCTTTGCTTCTTGGAACCCTTTTGCGCGGCTGATGCAAGAAGCATTGGTCTTACGCTCGGTACAAGCGAAAGCTATGAGCAGGAGAGCAGCTAGGTTAATCTTGAAAGCCTGAGAACGTTCGAGCAAGCACCAGAGTCCTATTTGTCTGCATTCGTATTTGCACAAAAGTCCTCTTCTCTAGACTGGAAGGCTGTTCGAAAGCTTCGAGAAGTATAGGATCTAAAATCGGAGAGGAAGACGTTCTCAACTTAATTGAGACCTTCAGCACTCCATCATTGTGTGCTTCTCAGATTCATCTCTGCAGGAAAAGGTCGGAGTGTTCTGACGCCTACCTTCGTAACATTGCTAAGAACACCCACAAGGAACTCCACCCTCTGACCGAGCCCCGCAAATGCAACCACCTCTTTGGCTATCTTCACATTTTCTGGACTTAAGTCGACGGAAAAGAGCTTCCCTTCAGGCGGCAGTTGGGACGCAATCCTCACAGCAGAATAACCAACATAGCTTCCCACTTCCAGTGCTCTCTTTGGCTGGTGCTTCGCTATCTCCTCGTCTAATACTTCCCCTTCACATCGCCAACGTTCACCAGCCACGTGCTTGACCACGCAAAGCTGTCAATTGCATCCAGGACGGACTGCGGATCGTTTAGAGTTGCTGTAGACTTGACATGAGCCAGCAGAGCAGCCTCACGACCGTCGCCAACCTGGTATGATGACATAGCGTCTGTAAAAGTCGTAACAACCAGAAAGCGCGCGAAGCTGTAAGCATTTGGAGGCAGGTAGTAGACGAGAACCACCACCAGCGGCGATGGCGAGAAGGCCGATAAGGAAGAAAGTGAAGCGAGCCATTGCGATCAACAGGCCTCTTTCCGCTTGTGCTTTTCGTCCTGCAAGTTGTTGTCGATCGACTGGCCTCATTTGAGACTGTCTGCATGCGGTTATGGGATCGCATGCAGCCGCTGACTCAGCCGCGACTCGAACTCGACTGCCGCGCGCGCCCGCGCCTGCGCTTTTCAAAAGACATCGCGGGGGGTTTTGAAGGCTTCTAAGAGTAGCCTAGTTCGTCCCGGCACTGCCAGGTACGTATACACCTCCTAAGATAGACGTCTCCAATTGCAGCAACAGTCGAGTTTGTTCACATACTCACGTGAAAGCACTGTAAGATCACAACTTGCAACATAGCATGGCACAATTTGCCCCCCAATGTCACTGCTTCACCATGCCATCATGGCATGATCGATGCCTCCTCCAATATGCACGGGCTTTAGATCGCAGAATCCGCAGAAGACGGTCCACAGAAATGTCCTGACAGCTTACGTCGTAACGTGCCAAGGGAAGTGATCTTATCCGTTTTTAGCTAGAACGACGGAACCGCTAAAAACGCGCGCCACTGGATACAGATCCGCAGGGAACTCCGATCAGAAGAAGTCGAGCGATGTACGTTATTGAAACACATATTGCAGCCAGCATAATGTTTTCCCCGTTTGCCACCTGAGCGCTATCCAAGATCGATGTCGCAACGAAAATATATATCCATACTGTATAAACCGTTAGGCCGGACCGGAAGCTGCCTGTAATCACCAATCTTGACGTGCCTGGGTACTAGTACACAAGCTCACGACTGCAAGCTTTGAAAGGGAGGGGAGCTGTTGGTAGACTCGTAGGTTTTTAACTTCGGGCAAGGTAATCGAAAGTGGTAGGGGCGGCGCCCAAGCTTGGGGCCGACTCGAGGCGGCGAGGCGACAGCCCGGCGACAGGCGGGTGCAGCATCAAATGTGCGCGCAGTCGTTCAGCATAAGCGGGCGCGACCCGGCTCCATGGGCAGCACGCTAAACGGTGCATGTGTTTCGTAGTTTACCGGTATGTATCTTGCATGTTGGAGTTGTCCGGTCAACTGGCAAGGTGGCCCGGGGGTGGCCCCTGGATTCAAACCACCAGGCTACGTTCGACAGGAAGTTTTGATTTGGCATTGGCTCCCTGCTGGCAGTGCTAGCCGGCTGTCCTCTGGTCAACCGGCTGCACTTCGTAAGCCTCTTTGGAACCGGTCGGCCTGTGTCACTCAACCATCTCAACTTTCACTACCTACTTACAATATACCCGGCACGTTTTTGCTGAGGCATCGGTCGGTGGCCCCTCGCGATGTAGTTGGTCGGGTGGCAATTCCGTTGGCTGACGTTTGCCTGGTGTGATGGACCTCTGTCGAACCGTCGTGACTGAAGTTAAACGTGGAAAAAGGCGCGAAAAGTAGAGGCCCCGCTACGCTGGCGCTCGCCTTCTTTTTTGCAGAGCGCTTTAGCACTTGTATTGCAGTGCTGTGAAACGAACTTTGATCAACTCTAGCCGGATGATATTTGGATCTATGCCGATCGCGTGCTGCAAGATTCATAATCTGGAATATTGAATCAGGAGTCCAATTAATAGGCCATTTTAGTGAGTCCAGCAGCCTTCAAAGTTCTCGTGAAATTTGGGCAGCTCAAAGAGCACCACATTTTGAAAATTCCGCGATCGAGCCAGACTGGAACAGGAACAAGTTACTAAGTTGTTGATGGCGGAACTCCCCACCGAGTTCCCATGGTCTCTTTTCGTACTCGCCGTAGCCAAATAGGTCATAGGCTTCTCATGGCATACATGTATCATGAAGTGTGGAAGTGTGTCCGATCCAGTTTGGAACTCCCCCGGCGGTTCACTCAGTGGTTTCAAAACTCATGCAATCACCGCCATCATGGTGATCATGAGGCGCCTTTGCAGTACTACCAGCTATACTACGGTATACCTAGTAGGCTGTGACAGCTTTAGGCAAAGTGCCCTCTCACAGTGCAGGGGGGTCCGACTCCCGAGAGAGTGTCGTCATCGAAAATCTATGGCATCATTCCGCGCGTTGGATCCGGGACGAATCTGGACGGCGAACCCAGAATATTCTGGTCATCGTAGATGCAATCGACGGTTGAAATGAAGAGTCAAGACAGCCGGATCGGGCCACAGCCTGGTGCCAATTGGCGGGCATCGATGAAAATCCGTACTCCGCATCATTAGGTGCCGTACCGCCGTACCGTACGGAGTACTACGGACATATGTTGGTACGCAAGAGGTGAGTGCCAGCACGTACTGGCGTACCTAGTACCTACTACCAACGGTACTACCTACCAGTACATGTGATACCGGTAATATGAAAACATGCGGCGCAAAAACCGGAGGTACTTGCGTGCTGCGCAGGCCAGCAGGCGGTAGGATACCTGCTGTGACCGACGTAGGGACCGTGGAAAAAACGTGAAACCTGGGTCATGCGTTACGCGTGCGACAATTCCGGTAGAGGTTTCATCAACAGCCTGAATTCTGCTCTCAGGGATGTACAAGGTACAGTGTGTGTACACGGGTTCGGTGTACAGGGTGCCAATCATTAGCTCCGAAGAAGCCGGCACTTTTCAAATTGATGAGTTGTCCTGGATCTGCACACTTCGCCCCAGTGTTCCGGCCCCGTAATTTATAGATAAGATGGGTACACAAAATTACATACGTATATTCGCGTGCAGAGTCCAAGCCTTGCGGTCTAGAATTCCCCATGTACACTCACAAATCCATCTGATTTGTCAGTACCCATGCTTGCGATTTCAAATTTTTCAATAAATCAACAAGGACAGGCGAATCGACGAATAAGCGCTCTTGTAAGCTGACGTCACGGGGATCGGACGATCCAAATCCAAAAACAACTTTTAATCTCAGATTTTACAGGCCGCCGGCTCCCTCTGTATGATGTTTTCTAACGAGCTAGACCGTGTAGACGGGCGGACGGGTGTGATTCGGCACTGGCCCGGACACACTGACATTGACAACACTCCCAGCTACCACCGAGTTCGCGTAGGATGTAGACGGCACGCTAGTCTTCAAAGGAGGGGGACCGCGCAGTTCCTGCAGTTCCTGCAGTTCCTGCGACATTCCATTGAGGGGCCATTGGGCAGCTTGGTGGACATTGAAGCAGGCGCATCTCTTTGCTGTCTTTGACCCGAGAAGGGCAGGTGATTGTACCCGAAGGAAATCTCGGGCATCTTTGAGACTAGGTTGCATTGGCCTGGCATTCATATGAGCAGCTTAGCCAACACAATGCGCAGCAAGCAGGCCCTGTTTTGGGTTACGTTGGTCACTGTCTTGCTTTTAGTTGAAGGGGTCGACCGATGCGAGCAGGCCGCATTAAATCCGGATTCAAAATGCTGCACCAGTGTGGACATCCGAGACGATGTCTACTGTCTTAATGAAGCAACCTGCTGCTTGGGTACCCGATACGGTTTGCTCCGGCTTGCTTGTGCTTTCCCTGGGGAAGTATGCTGTGGTGCAAACCGTATATATGCCACGGATCAGTGCTGCCATCAGCCGGACGATACCTTTGGTTGCCCACCCGGGACAACATGTTGCTATTCGAGCCAGATTGTTTCGGCGGGCCCACCCCCTTCTTACGCCATTGATTGTTGCCTACCGGATTATGACTGCGATCTTGGGGGTTATGGCTGCGTCCCAAAGTGCCTGCCTCCCAAACGTCAATGCGTGGGGGGGAAGAACTTCTTTCCACTGTGCTGCGAGCCTGGTTTCGAGTGTTGCGTGCTAGCAGACGGTGAACCATTGTGCGTGAGATCAGGGGATAACTCCGACGGTTTCATTCGGTGTCCTGCCCCTTCAGCAGGCTACTGCTTTGAGAAAAACTCATACGCGCTGGACACACCACCTGTCCGTTTGGTTTCTAGGCTTGCTGCCCCAGGTGAGGGCGTGGTTCCTTGTGGAGCGGAGGGAGCAAGTGCGTGTTATGGCCCAATGGGAGAAGGCCCAGTATGCTGTGCGGGTCCGCTGTTCCAGTGCTCCACCCCCCCAACGAGCCCACCTTCTTGTCAGGCAATCTACCCACGTGTCGATAACCCCAGCCCCGTCTTTCCTCCCCCTCCTGGGGCTTCCGGAAGCAGCCCTGCTCCAAGCGCCACTGCATCCGCAGGGGAGGTTCCTTGCAGCAATATGGGGACGACTCAGTGCTATGGGCCAGGGGGGGAGGGCCCGATCTGCTGCATAAGCCCAGAGTATCAGTGCGCTTCGCCACCCACCAGCCCCCCTGCTTGCGTCAAAAGCAATCTAGGGGGCCCATCCAGCTCGGCACCAAGCTCCCCGCTTCAGTCCCCAACTCCTACAGGGACCGCTGCCGCTTCGCTTGGGCAAGTCTCTTGCTCCGCAGACGGCGCCACTCCCTGCTATGGACCGGAGGGTCAAGGTCCTCTCTGCTGTGCCTCAGGTTATCAATGTGCTAACCCGCCGACCAACCCCCCTTCTTGCCAATCCCTGTCTACCAGCCCCAGTCCAACAAAAGTGTCTCCCATTCCAACAACGGGCAGTCCTACGGCCTCGGTTACTCCCCAGCCAACAGTCTCCACCCCCACCCCAAGCACTTTGGCCCCGCTGGCTACCACCCTCCCGCCAGCCACTCCTAGCCCCACAACTCTGCCCCCAAACTCTCCTGCCCCAACAACCCCCGCTCCTACAACTCCTGCCCCAACAACTCCCGCCCCGACAACTCCTACCCCAACAACTCCTACCCCAACAACTCCCACCCCAACAACTCCCACCCCAACAACTCCTACTCCTACAACTCCCGCCCCCACAACTCCCGCCCCCACGACTCCCATGCCTACGACTCCTGCGCCCACTACTCCTACTCCGACCACTCGAGTCACTCCAACCCCGACCCCAAAAAGTTCAACTCCTAGGCCTACAGGTGGGTCCTTTTCTTGCTGTCCGATTCACCAGCAGCCACCTCTTGCGCAATCTGCACAATGATCTAGCAACAGATGATCACATCTGTAAAGCATGTTGTTTGAAGTTCCTCGTCACGAAAATGTATGCGGTGTGACGGCAAGTAGATTTCGGAATCAATTCAGTTGGTCTTGATACCGTTGCGGCCACGTTGGACTATATAGACAGATCATGTGATGAACTTGCTCTCGTACTTCATCGTCCCCTCGATTGCAAGTTTTGTTACTCTCTTCAACCGTGCTCTCGTCGCTTTCCTTCCTAAAAAGATTCTTTCAAAGGATTCCTCTGCTTCTCTTTTAAAGGATTCCTCTGCTTCTCTTTGACAGACTCCAATACTCAATTCCAAATTGTGGGGTCATTTACCATCAGAACCTTGCCACCGGAGAGCTTTGATGCTGACAAACAAACGAGCTATGTACAGGCTTTATTGCAGTCCTCGACTGCGGTAGAAGAGGTAAGCTTTCTTCTTCAGGCTTCTTGTTTTGTATCGGCTTGGTTCCGACCTGATCATCATGCGGCCTATGAGATCGGCTCAGTGGCAGACGGTCCTTAATCAGGCCGGCTCCTATAACGGCACTTTGAATGTGAAATAGGCTGCAATTAGCTTGTATTGACCGGCGCAACTTTCTGAGGGGTCTTGATGCATGAATGCATCATGGCAGCAACTATTTTTAGGAACCTCGGGGCCAGCTTTTTAGATTGCAAACTTTTGCGTAAGGCATCGTCGTCCAGATTAAGGAAGGTCAAACGGGGGTCAAACGTTTCTCTAGGCTGCCTCAACTTGTGTGTACATATATGAAGGATCAAGCTTGTCCCCTCTACAAACCGACCGATACGGTGCAGGTCTCGATCACGAGCATTCAGCCAACCAACGATGGCGCCGGTAGTATCGTCGAGACGACAATAACGGTCGATGGTCAGGCCGTTGAAGAGGTTCTCACGGCCTTTACATCTGGCTTCGTTTCCGCCCTGGAGCCGGCAGTTGGAGAGACGGATATCGATCCGAACAGCCTGTTTGCAAAGGGCTTCCCTTCCCCATCTTCAGCTCCTCCCATTACTACGTCAGGTAGTGAAGTTCCGTTGTTTTCAGTTCTCGTGCCTGGCGGCCCTGGATTGGTTCATATTTACTCCTGCTCACGTGTCACTTTTGCTATGTCTCTTACAAAAACTGATCGCGCTTTCAGTTACTATGCAGTCGCATGAATAAACGACGGTGGATAGTAACGTACTTGAAAGGTCAACAGCGGACGTTTCTTACCAAGGAAAAGCTTGGTCAATGCCTGTCAAATTGATTCGGTCACCTTTGGGTGCCCATGTGGGCCCCTGTCCGCAGTGCACGCTTCTCTAAATTTCGTCTCTATCTCAAGCTGCCAGACGGTCACTCCATATATTTTAGGTTCAACTTCCATCATGCAAGTTGCTCTCGGGCAACAATTGATTTCTCTAGCTCGCTATTACGGCTGTGGAATTGACTAAAGGTCTAATCAGCAGATTGACGTGTTCACTTCGCCACTGATTGATCCGTACATGTGTACCTGCAGACCCGGTTTGCTCCAAGGATTGTCCCTACAGTGTTGGCGGCGTACTGGTATGCGGGAGCAAATGCTGTCGGTCTCGTGCGCCTGGGGTCAAGTGCCCTGCTTACCCGGGGGACTACAACGCGTGTGGACAGGTGTCCAATGGTGAGACGAACTGTGCCAAACGTTTTGATCCAGTGAAAGTGCAACACTGCTGGCTGACTCTTTTGTCGGTTTAAACAGACGGCGTCATTACGTCCAGTGATGCTTCTTGCAGCCACGCGCTGAACCGCTTTCCGATGCTCTCCGCTATCCCCTATCCGCTGACCGCTATTCGCTATCCGCTCTTTGCTGTGATACAGGAGGACTCGTGGGAAAGGTTATCAACTTCATCGGTGGTGCTGGAAGCAGCGATTTGTTCGCACCTGGTTGCAACTTCCATGACGTGTGCTACTCAACTCCTGGCGCCAGCAAATCTACCTGTGACGACGAACTTTACGTACGCACCCGCGAAGCCTGCGATGTGGTGCCTACGTCATTTGCGGCGGCCCGATGCCGCATGACAGCACGGGTCGGACGCCTCTTCTTCTCGTAAGTGGCAGGTTCCTTCGACAGAGCGCTCTTGAGATGGGTCTCCAGCTGGGTACTCATAAGAGTGTCGGAGGCTTGCTATCAACTAGTTCTTTGACTGAGCATTGGTTCGAGATCATCATTCGAAGCAGACGAGTGACGTTGTGAATCAGTGCGCGCATTGTGACGTCAATATGCTGATAATTGCGTCCGCATTTGCAGCACCGACTTTGGTTCTAAAGCCGCGTACGAGAGTGCCCAGGCAGCAACCTTGGCGTACGCATTGGCCTTTTGCGGTCATTGAGTGACCGGCCCAAGTAGTCTGCAAACGGCTGCAGTACCCAACAGGCAGCTTTGTCTACCAGCTTTTAGGTTCTCATATTCCTAATGTAGAACCCGGTTTTCTCCTGATCAACAACCTCTCGGTTTCCTGGATTTGAATTCCATTTTTGTAGAGCCTGGCGTCAGAATGAACACAAGGGCTCTTCGTGGTTTGCTGCAGCGGGTTTTGATTGACCAATGTAGTCATCAGGGTTGATTTCACAAGAAGAGTCTGTAGAGTCCGGCCCAGGCGTTGAGAACAACTCAAGATGCAGTCGGACGGTGCCGGGCCAGACATGATTTTGCATCTTTGAGAGAAATTATTCTTGCCACTTCTACGTGATTGGGCGGCCCGTTGGCAGGGTCAAAGCCTCTTCGAGAAAGCCGTTCTTGGTAACACTGTATAAGCTACCTTCCCGCAATTTTGGTCGGAGGTAGGATGATTGAGTGCTTCATTGACTTTCACGGATTCGGAATTGCGTAGTAACCGGCCCACAAACCACGCTGGGTCCAGTAACAAACCCGTAGCGGTCACTATGTGCTCCGTTGGATTGCTCGTGTTAGGAGAACGTCATGTCAACGAACGTGTAAGGAAACCTCGTTTCAAGCCAAAGCGGAAAAGCGTGGCCCGGATTTTATAAGCGGGTTGTTTGAAATCATTCGGCTAGTACAAGGATGCTTCATAGTTGATCAAACGCATTGGTCGAGTGTCTTTAACGGACCACTAATCCCTTCTCCTTCTGCACAACCCGGGGCCCGGGGCCCACTGCACGCGTCAACCGTCCGACCAAACTTATTATCACGCAATCATTAAATTGGGTCGATCATATATATGCTTTGACTTGTGCATGCATGATGCACGGTAGCTAGCTTGGCGGCAAGCATACGTATACCATACCTATGTGCCAGATGAGACGGTCGATGATCGCACCACCGTGCAATATCATATGCTGCAGCTGCCGCGCGCTGAGATATGGTATAGGTAGGATGCAGTCACCTAAAGCCTGGCGCCTGTGGTTGAATTGCAGAATGTAACGACCAAGCGTCACTAAGTGCGCGGCTCGTGGTCACTAGATTGCACGCTAGCCTGCATACTATCACTGAGCCTCTTGGTACCAATATTTCGCTTCAATGCCATGATGATCGCTGGGCGTTGACTTGATTAGAACCGACGGTTACAACGTCCTCCGAGTGCAAAGCGCTGGGATATTAGCGACTCCTGCAGACGGTCACACCTTGTACTTGCAGCCTGAGTCATCATACTCAATGGTAATTGCCAAGTCGCAATGAACGAGTCGATCAGCTACTCGCTGGTAGTGTGCTTGACGACTAACTTTAAGGCTCAATGTGACCTTTTAGTAGATTTGTGCGTTAAAACCAGCGCGAGCTACCTGTTATAACGTCCACGTTGTTGGCTTCGCGTTCGTTTCTATCTTGTGGACATCCGTCTAATGGTCCGCAGATCCTGCTGACGAACTGATATTACAAAGTCCCGGCTTGAAAGCCGACGGCTTATTACAAGTGAGGCCGCGTGCACCCCCAACTCAGTCATGCGGAATGTTGCATGTTGTTGTTAATGTTGCCAAGAATAGGGCAGTGTGGAGACCACTTTCGGCTGCGCCCCGTTGCCCGCAACCGACTTCTGCGCTTCCTGTGCCGCCTGCCGTTGCTTCAGCAGCTTGTATTTGTTGTACTGGTAAACGTACCAGAACCCACCCTCTTCATTTCGCTCAATCCGCTCGACCTCGCCCGCAAAACTTCCTTTTCCGTTGATCGCATTGACTGGAGCGGAACCCACTCTGCCTGGACCGACCAGCTCAATGAATTCAACCTCTTGGTCCGACGTGGACGCCTCGCTGCCGTCGGATGTGAGGAGGCGAATTTTGCGGCCGTCGATCCGGTCGCACACAACGCCCACTGGAGCGACCGCAATCGGATCGTACTGAACAAGCTGGAAGAAGAAGAGCAAATGACCACAATCAGGATGGACACACGGTGAGATGTGCAATCGTACCACAGTTTCGAGCCCTTAGAAAGCTGTTGCAACTGTCTCAGGGACCAGAATCTTGACATGCCTTCATATGCAACCCTGCATCAAGCTTTCGCGAAGGAATGTCGAGGATCTGGAAGATGCTGGCAGTGTCTACTGATGCGCAGCTCAAAGAGCTCGACTCGAAACCACACCAAACAAACATTTGCGCACTTTGGAGCAACCGCGCAAGCACCAACCGGGGCGCCACTCGAAGCAACCGAGCGAGCATCCACCGAGTCGTGGGATAGACAGGACGTTTACAATACGATCAGATCAACGTGCTAGGTTTGCACAGCACGTTTGCAGTCGGGATAAGACGCGGTTCTCACCTGGTTTGCGTTCACGCAGAATAGCGCGCTGCCTTGAGAGATCCAGGTCACCTGTACGGAGCAAGGCGGATGGCACATCAGCGAAGTATACCTCACATTGGGTGGTCGCGCATTGCTCGCAACCTATCCTTTGACGATTTGTGGTGGTGCTTACAAGGAAAACGATTTCTGGTGGTGCTTACAAGGAAAACAACGGTCTCGCCAACACCATGTCTGCAGACAGCGGCACTTAAGCGTCAAAATATCACTTCGCGTATGAAGACAGAAGAACGGCAATGGCGTTCGAGTGACCAGCACAGAAAGGAGGTGCTACGGACTGCCCCTCAACTACTCAACAACAAAGCCTTAGCGAGGTTACGTAGCCGAGATTCCCTTCCTCCGTCGGAGTGAATCAAAGGCTGACGGGCGCTGACAAAGCTCTACGAACTTCGCACCCTACGCACTGACCTCTTCTCCCGACCTTTCAGTCCCTTTGACCTCTTGTCCCATTTTTTTCAGTCCCTTTTCGATAATCGGTGTGCCATCCTCACCTTCTCGTTCGCCGAGCTCCCCGCCTTCTCTTCCCCGATCATGGGCGAAAACGCCCCGCCCTTTCTGCAGGAGTGCACCCCGGGCAGGCCCGGGCTGCCCGCGAGCCACACCGGTCCGGTCGGGGCGTCCGTAAGAGTGCCCGGTAGATATCTCCGGACCTTTTCGGGGAGTTCCTGGATGCGGGAGTCGTACGAGTGTACGAGGTCGAGCCGCAGCTGCCCGGTGACGTGGTCCAGCGTGTCTGGGAGAGAAACGCTTAAAGAGTCAGAACGTTGGGCTAGATGGCCTTCAGGATCTGGATGTCTAGGCTTCCATCCTAGAGGTCTTGGATGGAAGAGTCTTGCGTATGGACGAGATCGAGCTGCAGCTGCCCGGTGACGTGGTCCAGCGTGTCTGTGAGAGGGGCGCGTGAAGACTCAGAGGACTGGCTAGATCCAGAACCTGGATATTCTAGGTTTCCTGAGAGAGTCGTACGACTGGACGAGGTCGAGCGGCAGCTGGCAGGTGACGCGGTCCAGCGTGTCTGAGAGAAACAACGTCTGAAGACTTTGAGAGCTTTGCCTGAATGGCGTCGGTTTTATTGGGCGCTTAAAACTGAGCATTCGATGTTCGTACTCGAAAAAGTACAACATTATGGAGTCGTGTTTAGCTAGAAGCGGACTACAGATCGGGTCAGTTCGAGAAGCACACGGATCAGTCATCAATTGAGACGCCCAAACAGAACCAAACGAAGTCGTCATGGCATGTCATATACCAATCTCGGAAGTCAGCTGTTTCGACGGCACTCGCAAACAGGTCAGACAAGGATTATTGTGAATCGATCAAACTCACAGATCTTGAAGCCCTTCTCCCCCCCTCGCACAATGCGCGACTGCCGGCGGCCGTCCCGGTCGCACTGGGCCATGACGCCGACTTGCACGAAGAGGCAGTTGTTGACCACGTTCATGGAGCGGTCGTAGTCGTGGCTCAGGTGGTAGTGCCCCGAGAACCACAGCTTGATCTGTGCACAGGGGGAAACATCTGCTGACGTCAGCTGACGTCATCTTTCAAAGGATAGACGGTCCTCGAGTCATAACAAGTACCGTGCGCTCCGACTGCAGTGCCATGGCAGCAACAGCTTGAACTCTGTACCGAAAAAGACTTCTGCTGACGTCAGCTGGCTGATTCCTTAAGGGTGGGGATGCGCAGGGAGGTATTGCATGTAATGTGGGCCTTAAAGCTTATAGCTCACTCTGTGGTATCATAAGCATACTTCAAGGCCTCCAGACTGCGAACAATGCCCTCCTGAAATGCTCATGATGCTTCGTGATGCTTTCATAATACCGCTTCAAACAAAGGAGTTCGTACTTCGATTCGCTTCAAGCTGATGCCGTCTTGAGTCCTTCTTCGTCTTGCCATCTACTCCTCCGGTTAGATAAGATCGGTTTCTTCCCCACAGCCTCCATGACTGACTGCCATGCCTTTTCCATTCGGCCATTCACTCTTGCTCGCCAATCCCGACTTTCAACGGTCTGCGCATACCTGAATTTCTCAACGACCTCATCAAGAAGGCCTCAGATGTGGGCTCTGCCTCTCTGGATCAATCACTCATCCTTTCCAGCCAGAATTGAAGTGCCACGAATCATCCAACCATCTGCAGATACCTTTTCTTCTTATAAGTCGAATCTAAAAAGTCTCACCTGTGGGCTCTGCCGCACAATGTCGATGAACGCCTCGGGCCGCTCGCTGTGGTTCAGCCACGCGCAGCGGTTGCGCACATGCACCTCCTGCAAGCTCGTGAGGTTGGACCCCATCGGGGGCGCGTGCGTGAAGACGAACACCGGCTTGTCGGCGTGCTGCGCGAGCGTTTCCCGGAACCAGTTGACCTGCTCCTGGTCTAGATACACCTCGTGCGAGCTATGCTCGGCGTCGCGAAAGCGCACCGTGGACATGCCGATTGCAATCGCCGCGCCGTTGCCTGCAAAAGTTTGTAATGTTGAGGTTTTGGCACTTCGGCTGTAGGCTGTGCGGCTATGACAGGCATCCTTTGTGATGCCACACGTTTTCGAAGGTGTGGTTACATCAGGCAAGACAGAAGGACAAGCCACGGTTAGACCCAGAAAGTAGGACAAGCATTATGCTAAGTCCGAAAGTCGTATCACCAACTGCCACCTCTTTAGTTCGAGAATCTATTATGGTATATCTTTGACTGGTGGCGTGTTAATGAAAGTCCTGAAAACGAAACATAGGTCGGCGTCAGAGCTGAAGAGGCCAATCGCGACAGTGGCAATCGCCACAGCTTGCACAGCGACAAGCATTGTGTATGGTTGTAACTTGCGTTTCTGATGAACTTGTTGTTTCTGGTGTGAGAGGTGCCACATGATCGGTGGAAAGGAAACAAACTGGAAATTGTCAGTGACACAAGATTCAGATGCAGTAGCTGCTGCAAAGCATGCCGGCGTGGCCAATCTAGATACCAAGCTACGTGTGGCCGGGTTCGCTGGCTTCATTTCAATCGTAAGTATGATCAACCAGAACAACAGTCTGATCACAGCATCCGCGCCAAATTTACAAGGAGACTGATCTTTCCTGCACTCATTCCCGGCCTTCCGATGGTCCTCACCAATCTCTCGCATCCAGTAGTGTTCTCCAAAACGCTGCCTCCATCCCTCTAGATTCTCCGCATCTGTTTGGAAGTCATCGAAGCCCTCAAGATCATGGTTTCCGAGCACGATGTTGACGGGCAACTTGAAAGAATCCAAAAATTCCTTGGCGACCTGCACAATGAACACATCATAAAGGTATCTATCTAGAACCTTGCTCGACCACACGTGTCCACTTTCTAAAGAATGTGGAGACTTTCTGCAAGATGTTGCAACATTGCGTGTGTCGCTGCAGCTGTTCTGTTTTATTTGATTCCTATCGGTGGAGCAAGACATCAACTAACCTTAAGCACGCACAGAATGTGCGCTAGCCTGCACATGGATATGACGTTGACCCATCAAAAAGCACTTTAGGCACACCAATGCATTCATGTTTCGGAAACTCACATTGAAGCAGTTATTAGAGCCTGGCCGGTGGCTGTAACCTCCCAAGTCTCCCAACTGAAACACCTGAGCGCCAGGTAAGAGCTCACCAGAAGCTGCTGAGAGCTGCAACATCAAATGGAGGGAATGAATAGGTTATATTGGTGAAATTTAAGAGTAGTTTTGAAAACTTCTCCAAAGAGGAGCGAAGCGCAGAAAAGCGGAGACACAGAAATAGTTGGACTATAAGCATGTCAGATGGTGAATTTTTTTGACACCATCAGATGCTATAAGGATCGACCGCAGTCTCGCTGTGTGCTACAAGTTTTCGGCAGCATCTTGCACGCGCATTAGGGCCACGCCTGTGACATTTCCATCTGCTAAAATAGGCTTCAGCCTGTTTAAGCATGCAAAGCTTGAAGCGGCACGCTCTGTGATTCTGCACCACTAAAACTCGAGGCATTTGGTGATAGCAGTCAGAAAATCCGCTTGGGGGCTTATCGAAACCTCACCTGCTTGAGAATCAGTTCCCTGCCCTCATGACACACTCCCATTTGAGCTGGCTCCAGATGCAGATCTCCAAGTACCGCAAAAGAGTACTTTTCATCAACAGGCAGCAGATCTACACTCTCCGGTGTCAAGAGCGGGAGGCCCCCATACCCAGTTTCCATCTTGACACCCTCTGCTTGATCCAAAGTTGCTGCGGATGCTCTAAGTCCAGCTCTGGCACTGTCGTTCTTTGTAGCAGGCGTGTACGGAACCCCACCGGATGTTGTAATACCAAATCTACCTTGCACCTTTGATGCTTGCCGGAGCTTTTGTGATCTAAAACATGCAGCAGGAAGGAGATCTGTGGAAAGATTCGCAGTGTGCTTCGCGGTTGCACCGAGCTTCAAGGATGCACTGGCTTGACGAGCCAGCGCCTGCGCAACCATTCCGCAACTTGCTGCAGAACTTGCCTCGACGGACAGCTGAGAGCGCCCTTCAAGATAGGTCTACAAATGCATCAATGCACTCCCAGAGACATGAAATGCAGCAACTTCAAGTTGGGTCCTGCTGCTACCAAGGAAGAAGGCGCCTTCCTTCGCTGTTGACAGGCAGCCTTGCCGCCTTCAGTCAGTACCGGTACTGTTGACATCAGGTTTGCTTTGTGCAAGAAGGAAAGGAAGAATGCTGAGCAGATTCTCCTCACTGCTCAGAGCCGAATCCTGGGACGATGGACCGCTAAGAACGTGCCGCGTGGCACTCGACGAAGCTTTTCGGATGCAAACCCTAGAACGGACGGTCAGTGTCGATTCAAGGCGCCACGGTGGCAACCAAGGCCAGAATGCAATGGTATATTCGGACGGCCGGCCATTGGCTGTCCAGCCAGATTTTAGACGTGGTTTACCTGGGTTTACCTATACCGTAGCTGGAACTTCCGCCTACCGGTACTTTACCTTATATGGTCAGTGCCGGGTCGGGACAGGTCTGGAATCCGACCGGGATCAGAAGATTTTGGACGTCCGAAGGAACTTACCGTAGGAAGCACTGTGACCAGCAGCAGCCCTAAGTATTGTTGTGCTCAACTTCAATTTAAAAGGGAGGGCGCAAAGCAGAAGAGCGTCGTGTGGCCAACTGCTGAAGTTCCACGTTCAGTAGGCGCCATTGGGGAGTACTGATTGAGCTGCTGTGTTTCTGTCTTCTGGAAAACTTGAGAAGAAGTCTTTTTCCTGCTCCTGTGTTGCTTTCATAAGCCTTTGGAATAGGAAGGCGCAACGAAAAGACAGTGTAGCAGAAACGCGGCGTTGCAATGGCGTCTGCGGTTGCCGGTGTGGCCGTTCGCTCGTTTGCTCAGGGAATAGTCCAGAGGACCAAGCTTGGCCAGCGCAGTGAAAGGTCCGGTCATCTTCCTGTGGATGCCACCAGCCGTTCCGCTTTCAATGCACTGCATTCGTCACAACATGGAGAGAGCAGATGCAAGGTATCTAGGTTGTGCGGTGGTCGATCAGTTGCGGGACGCCAATCAGAACGGCTGAAAGGGTTCAAGCTTCCGACTGCGAGCCGGCAAATGAAAGGGAGGAGAGGGGCTCCAGTGTGCTCAATGGCAGGCACGGCCGCGGGAGATACGCCCGTCGAGGAGCCCGCAAAAGAGACTGAAGAACAAAAGAGTGAGTTGCTTCGCCGACGAAGCATGTCAAAGCTTGACTCGACAAAGATTTGTTGGACGCAGACTTGTTGATTGATTAGAAGAGAAGCCCACTACGATTAACTTGTAGAAGAGCCCGCCAAAGAGACCGAAGAAACTTTAAGTTGCGCAAATGAACAAGGCTCGTTCCAGAGCTGGCCCGGTGAATGTCTGTGGACGGGGAACTTCTGTGCCTATGGATTAAGTACAGAAGCGAGAAAGTGCACCGGAGAAGTCGTAGCATCGCAGGCCGTGTCTAGTATTAAAGGAGCCCTGCGAGAGAGACTGAAGAAAACCGGAAGTTGTGTTAATGAAGAAGGCACGTTCAACAATCTGACTGGACGAACATTCTGCTGGACAGGAACATCAGGGCCTGAAGATGACTTTTGAAGATATGAAAGTGCACCAAAAAAGCTGCGGCGTTTGACCACTGTCCACAACAAGATAGTCCAAGTTGCCGGTCCAATCTCCCGGTGTCAAAGTGCGCCGGAGAATCCACTAGAAACATGATGCTTGTCGGTGGTCAGAGCAGGCAAAGTGATCCACAACATGTCCACGTACGTAGAAGTGATCAAGGTCCATCCGGAGTAACTTCTCCCACGATCAACCAATCAAAGGCACATCCTTGAACCCCGATACTCGACACTACCACTTATTATTCCAACACATCACGAGTACCGCCAGCAGTTCCTTGTGGGTGACAATTACCGAATCTAAGTCTCTGGTTCACCTTTTTCAAAGTGGTGGCATGGGAGCTGTGTTTCACCCCGTTTGTTCCAGGTTGACGCGAACACGAGTTTGACGGAGGGACACGAATCACGAACCGCCTTGAAACATCTGTAACGCCTCCATTCACCACACGGTGACCAGAATCCAATCATGTCCATTCAAAGGCACTTTTTCACTTATCTTTCACTTCTTTTTTCGATGTTCCTTGACACCACCTTCATCATCCTCTTGCAGAATCGACTTTTGGGTCCAAGCTGCGAGCAATCCTCTTCTACGTCACAACGCTGCTCATCGCCATCCCTCTGTTTGTGGTCATGCTGGTTATCTTCCCCTTCCAGTACCTCTTTGACAAATACCGCCGCCGGGGCCTACACGTCGTGAACAATCTGTGGGCTAATCTGACGACGGCGCTCTTTTACAAGTAAGCCTCTCGGGTTGCTTCTTCTTTGACTTACCTGTTTTTGTTACTGTGGATTCTTATGGGTTATTTTGCACGCTTCTTTATTCTCATGTTCTGTTTTGCGATTGTTGAATTTCGTACCGCAGAGACCGAAATACGTATTCATCGGATGGTCCTCGTGCATGCGAAGTCATCGGCGCATGAACCAACCGACAAAAGACACCCCCGCAGTCTACATCGCCAACCACCAGAGCTATCTCAATCACTTCTCGCTCTTTGTTTCTTGAACGCGTTCTCCATGATCATTTCCGCTCAGGCACAAGCAGAAGGAAAAGAAAAATAGTCGCACGCCTTCATTGTGCTCTTGTTCACCTCTCAAACCCATTCCATCCAGGATTGAAGTCATCGGCGCAGAAAATCTTCCGCCAAAAGGCACGCCCGCAGTGTACATCGCCAACCACCAGAGCTACCTGGATATCTTCTCGCTGTTCCGGTTATGGGTGCCCTTCAAGTTCGTGTCGAAAACAAGCAATTTCCTGCTCCCCATCGTCGGCTGGTCCATGTTCCTGACGGGGCACATTCCGCTCAAGCGGATGGACGCGCGGAGCCAAGCGGTGAGGCTGCACTCCGCGTAATTTTTAGAGAGTTGAAATGATGAAACTTGAAGCGTTAAAGAAGGACCTATTCCTGTCTGATGAGTGGCGGGAACGGGCTGGAACCGAACAAAGCGGTTGCAAACATGGTGTCGGAAACGGAAGTTGAATAAAGGGCCAAGTACCGCTCAAGCGGATGGACGCGCGGAGTCAAGCGGTGAGACTGACGCTCTCCCTACTTTCAGGAAACTAAAACTAAAGGAACGTCGATGAAACATGAATTCTTGGTAAAGACTATTCTTGCCTGATAAAGAATGGCGAAAACGGATTGGAACCGAATGACAGCGGTTGATGGAGTCGTAAACCAAAGCTGTAAGGGGGCTACATCTCGCTTCAGCAAACGGACGGACAAACCGAAGCGGCGAGAAGGCGTTGTAACCCCCTTCCTCACCATGCTTCTGCGGAGAGGAGAATGGAAACGAGAGAAGTCGGAAAAGGGAGAAGAGCAACGGAAGGGCGACAAGATTGAGCAAACGTCCCCGATGTATCTGTTATAGTGCATAGTCAGATTGTCCTTCAGCGGTGCACACTGGATGTCTAACCATCTCCTTGAGTTCTGCGCGTTGTTGTCTATTTTATCGTCGCCGTTGTTCAAAAAGCACAGCAAGCGATCCGCACCGCTCGCTTTTGTATTTTCCGCTTGGGAAAGGCCTTCGGCGTCCTTTACTGGATGCAACACAAGGCTTTCGAGAAGACGGGGTGAAGCATCCACCGCGGCTTCGTAAGCGAATTTGAGAATCCGAAACAGGTCGCACAGACGTCAAGAGGGACTGCAAACATGGAACACGTTCTGCGGTGTCTGTACGCGAAGTCTATCGTCGAAAACGAGGGCTATGCATCGCTGTACTGCCGGACTCAAAACGTTCAAACCGTTTAAGCGTCGTCTCCGAGGGACTTGTATTGGTTCTATGTAACTCAAGCCGTATTCGTCACCCCATCAGCCAGAACAATCTGCCCATGTCTACAAAGTTTTCAACAAGTTTCCGTCGACCCGTGCAGCAATGCCTCAAGGCGTGCCGAACGATGCTCGACAACGGGGGATCCGTGATTTTCTTCCCGGAGGGCACGCGCTCCCTGGACCAGAAACTAGCGCCGTTCAAGGTACGTCTTCTGCAACAAGCTCTGTGAAAACGTGTTGCAATGGTAATAACGGGTTTCCTAAGCTTTTGAACAGGAGCTTTGTGTCAACAATAAGTCCCCTTGTTCTCTCGGCCAACCGTATGGGACGACGCTGAAAGTTGAGAACTTCAGAATCGCGTTGCTAGTGGCCCTCGTTGGTTCCCTTGTCATCTACTTTGCGGACAGTTTGCGTACGTTCCTTCGGTCCGGAGGACATGAGAAACACCGTACCCGTCCGCTGATGCTCTCGCTAACTCGCTATCAACGAGAGACCAACGCTTTTGAGATGCTTTAGGCAGGACAAAGCCACTTCTGCAGGCACGGAATCTTGAGTTTTCCGGTCTTGAGGTCATAAATGTAAAGTGCCTGATATGTTTGTTCGCATCTTTTGTGTGTTGCAGAAAGGAGCTTTCAGCATAGCCACCAAAGCAAAGATGCCGATCGTCCCCATTACACTCGTCGGCACCGGCAAGCTAATGCCGAGCGGCCAAGAGGGCTCGTTGCATTCGGGCGGTGTCAAGATCATCGTGCATCCGCCAATGATGGGCACGGACCCAAACCAACTAATGGCAGACTCTCGGGAAGTCATCTACAATACGCTGGTTGAGTATGGTGCCGAAACATAGGCACGCCTAAAAGAAGTAATTGAGGTCCGTCCGCCAGTGCTTTGCCTTTGAGATACTGGCCCGCTTAGATCAGAGAATCATGCTAAGGTGATTGGTTTCTCAGAAAGTTTCCGTTATAAGGAAGGTATTTGTCCCGGTCTTGAGTCAAAGCGACATTAAGATACGTTACAGGTGTTCATCTCTGAGAGTGTAATCAGAAACCTATGATTGAATATGGCCGTGTAGTCAACGCCGCTGGGCCGGGCCGGGCTGAAAGACGTGCACCTAAAGCACTCCTTCGACGGTCAGGTCATCAATAGCGCGATTGAAAGGCGACCCGATGCATAAGGACACCAAACATTCGTTGCTGATTTCTGCTGGTTTCGCATCTCCAGCTCATGTGTCTCATTATTGTGAGGGCTTGGTGCTGCTGTGGCATTCCTTATGCGCATGCCATTTAGCAGGTACATGCAGCAACTCTAGCTTTCTTAACAAACTATTTAACAATGCACGCGTTGAGTATGTATGGCAGCCCGGGAAACATATATGTTGAGAATACTGTATTTGTGTGCAGTTGCGGATGTAAATCTTGATCCATGCTACTTAAACGTCGCGTGTGTGCAAGCTCTCAAACATATCACAGTCAGCACGTGGCACTTCCATGCGCGGCGCGGCTGCTGACGACTTAGCTGCGCCCGTCACCGTGCCACACTGACGGACTCACGTGAGCGCATCGCTCGAAAAGCAAAGCTTGCATTCATTCTCAACCACTGAGCCGCGTTTCTCATGTGCGTATTTTGGTACATGAGGTCTCTGTACCGTCCAGCCCGTGGGGCTACCGACCGGGTCATCAACCAAATGCTTAAGATCATATAAAAACGACCATGCAAGCATAGCTCGCACTAAGCGGTATCTCTGATTCTCCAGTCCGACGGTCCGCCGTGCAAGTCCAAGAACCGAGTCCAAATACTAAATTACGACTCACGTGTCTGCCGTTCAATCGACCTTGACAATCTCAGATATTTCTGGAGCTACAGAATTGGTGTTTTCATCTAAATAGAGAATAAACTGTCTCCAAATCCAAGCCTCTCGTCGAAGTCCCTCTTAACTTTCGTCTCCAGATCTTCGAGCACCACCTCATCCCCCTTCTCTCGTTTTAGCTGGGCCCCCTTAACTCTTTCTAGAGCAATCGCATATGCCTCCCGCTTCCTCCGTATGAAAACCACCGTCAACGCCGCAAAGACGCCCACCAAAACAGACGGCGTCAAAATAACCGACTTCGCAAAAGCGCCCGGGGTGAGCCACAGGTCTCCCTTTCTCGCTGCCACAAGCGCTTTTACCAGGGGTAAAACGAAGGGCAGGCCGTGCAGAACGGCGACCCCCGACCTCGGGAGAAGGTCCCAGGCGGGGACCGGAACCGGAAGCGGAACTCTGAAGGGCAGCGGAACGAGGACGAAGCGATCGAAGCTGAGACGGAGAGCGAACGGGCGGAGCCGCCAGCCGAGCCCAGGGCACAAAGCGCAGAGGAAGTCGGTGAGGAGCTTCACGTCCCCGGTTGCTTTGCACGGCGACAACCTGGCTCGAGCCGCCCGCTTCAGAGTCGCCAGCAACGACCGAACCTCGGGAACGAGACTGAAAAGGAGCGCCGCGCACAGGAGGGCTTCCCAACCGAGTCGTAGAGACTGGGCGGAAACGTTATCTACTACGAGCCTCACGGGAAATGTTCCGAGGAGCAGGATGACAGCTGGCAGGGGTTGAGGCAGGGCGAGACAAGCGACCGGTAGGAGTCCCTGGAGCACCCAAGATTGCTCGAGTATATTCCAAAGCAGCATTATGCTCCACGCAAGCTCCAATACGTGAGCGACGTATAACCCAACCGTTCCAAGTAGCTTGAAGATGGAAGCCACGAGCTCTCTCGCACCCTGGAGAAAGTAAGACACGAGGAGCTCGTCTGACGTCCTGCTGACGTCAGTGGAGGGGTGAATGAGGTCACCGGGCAACGCCCACTGAGCAACTTTGGTGCGAGAGTTGTAGAAGAAGGTCCGGTTCTGGGTGGGGTCGTATAAGTTGTGCCAGTGTGGGGGCAAACCCGGTTGCCTTGGCAAGAATTGTCCCTTTTTAGCATCCTCTTGAAGCCCATAAGCGATCCCCATGAACAAAAGCGGCGTGTAAAATGCTAATAGGAAGATTACGGAAGTGTCCAATCTCGTCCAATTCAACAGCAAGATCTGACAAACAATGAAGAAAAGGTGGCCCGGGACAAAGGGGCCCCAATTGGAAGGGGGTGGTCCTCCTGGGGAAGGCTGTGCAGAGACAGGGGAGGAAGGCTGCTGGTCCTCTGGAGTGTCTGAACAAACGTTGTTCCCGCCAGACGACCCATGAGTGCCCCTTGATTTCCACCGCCGCGCCAAAATTGGATCAGCCTGCTTCTCCAGTGAATGCTCGCTAAAATTTGAAGCGGAAACACTGCCAAAAGGAGCCAAAAGAATCAGCCCTCCAGGTTTGCCTAAAGGAGCAAGCCTCTGCCGATTGCAAAAGGCTGATGTTGCTGCGGCCTTTTTGCTGAAGCCTTGACACGAAACCAAGGCTCCCTGTCTATTCAAGGGGCCACTCTCAGGCCCCTTTGAACGTACTCTGTGGAAGCGTTCCACTGACGTCAGATTAGTAGTCAGCACTGTTGGTGTTGCTCCGGCTGATTGCCTGACGCCGGCCATTGCTGTTCAAGTGGCGCCTCTTCAGTTTCCTTCTCTCTGCCAAACAACTTGAACGTTTCTGTATTACTACCATGGACTCTACTTAAGATTTTGCAATCCACCGTCGAGCGCGCGGCCGCTTAGTCACGTCACCGGGCGGCCGCGTGTAGCCGGGTCGTCAAAACAAACCCCAAACCCTGCCCGGTGACGTTACCGAAACGCGACCGCGCCGCACGTAGCCGATCGAGTGCGTCTAGTTTGAAACTATGGCATACCTAGACTTGAGAGCTGAAGAAGTCAGCATTTGGCGCTTCTTCTTGAAGAGAGGCGGATCGATGCGGGCAGAAACGACGGCCACTGCTTATTGCGGGCTTGTATTTGCGTAGAGCGCCTTCTCTCATGGTGATTTTAGGTGCTGCCCTGGGGGGCCACGTGTCTGCTGGCTCCCAAACCAGGAGTGTGCATAGCATCAGCACAGCCGCTGTGTCAGCAAGCTTGCACACTAGTGGCCAGCGTCGTTGTAGGGTGGTCGCTCTGGTTGATCAAGACAGCGCATTCCATGGGGTTGCAAGTCGTCAGAAGCTGTGGAGTTGCACAAGGGCAGGGCAGAATGTTAACATCTGCAAAGCACGAGGAAACCACATGAGCTTCAGGGGAGGTCATCAGCGAGTCCAGCTAGGAATAGTTCATCCAACCAAAGCAGATATAGTCCGCATGCCATCAGGCTTCAGAACTTTGTCAGAGGGGCATCAAAGCCTCACTTTGGGAGGATTTCACAGCAACAGACTTCAGGGAAGGCAGTCTGGCAGTACCAGGGCAAAGAGACGCCTCATATGCGCCCAGGCAAGCCGGCCAGAGCCCCCGGAGAGAGTCCCCTACTCTTCCCCGCCGACAGATTGGGGCCCTTCTGCAGGCACATTCATTGCGTTCCTCCTCACAGCTGCTATGACCTGGTTCCTCATCCAGTTGTGCATCGCCGGAAAAATCGACCCAACCAACAGGGAGGACATGAGCGCGTTCATCTTCCTTTTAGCCATCATTGCATGTTTCGCGGTTCCCGTTTATCAGATACTCGGAATCGAAGCCGAGCTGAGGGGCCAGTTCGAACCTAGGCGACCGGAGCTTCCCCCCGAGTGGCACAACCTGTACTACCCCCGAGAGAAGCTCCCGTTCTACTACAACTCGGTCACTAAAGCCTCCCAGTGGGAGTACCCCGACCTCCCGACGCCCCCGGACGAGCCTGACGTCAGCGTGACGTCAGACGAGCTGGTCGGTTCGTACCTGGCGGACGGAACCGGGCAGCTCTTCTCCGCATTGCTCAAGCTCCCGGTCACATTGCTGCTGTATTACGCCCCTCTCTTCGAGCTCCAGTGGTTGATCCAGCTCTACAAAGACCATACGATTGGGGGGTGGAGTTTCTGGCTTCTGGCGAGCGCTGTTGCAGGTAAGTTTCGGTTCCGTGGCCTAGATCGAGTCAGATCAACCCGGCTGCTGACTTCCTGGCTGAGATTCCGGCTAGATGCCGCCCCAATTCGGCTGAACCGTTGTATGTTTCCGCTGTGGGACGACAAGATGCTGAACGGATTCCTCCGATTTTGAGCTTCATGTAAGTGGTTTGGCGCGCTTATCGGTGAAAGTTTGGAGCCGATTCCTGTCTCGACAGAAACCAAGGCTTTCACGATTCTGCGGGTCCTCCTCTCACTCCCACAAGTAGCTGCCGTGTGAAACCGCTCAGCAAACTTTAGATTCTCCGGGCTTACATAGACGAAGTAAACCAAAGCCGAAGTTAACGTGCTCCGCACCGTAAACACCTTAACCCTCAAACCAACCCAGCCCGTCCCCCTGGGCAGCGTCTTAACCCAACAAAGTCACGATTTCTCAACGCATGTTTATTACCCCTCTTTTGCAGCCCTGCCCCAGCCCCTCCCGCTTCTCATCCTGGCTCTCGGGGGATCCCAACCGGCAATCACGCCTTTCCTCGACGGCCCAGTCGCGGTCGGTTGGGAGGCTTTCCTGTCCCTGGCACTGCTCGGAAGCCTCGCCTCAGAGGTTCAGTCCCTGATACAAACACTAGACGAAGCCGCCCGAGCGAGACTCCCCCCCCGCAAGATGACCGCGGATTCTTCTTTTCTCACCAACCTAGTTTGCGCTCTTTGCCCCGGGCTCGGTTGGAAGCTCCACCCGTTCGCCCTCACCCTCAACTTCGAGCGGATCGTGATCGTTCCGTTCCTGTGCAAAGTTCCGCTTCGGGTGCCCGTTCCGCGGTGGGAGCTTCTACCGGGGTCGTTGGTCGCCCTTTTGTTCGCCTCACCCCTGGTGCTCCCCTTGGCAAGAGCGCTTTCGACGCCGATAGAGGTCGCCCAGGCGCCTGAACGGAGTGCCTACATGAAGTTTTTCAACGTCGTTTCGAAGGCGACAGAAGGCGCCCTTGAACCGGGAGTCTTCATTGAAGCGGTGATTTCGTCTCCGGCTGTGTGGGTGGGGGTCTTTGTATCCGTGGCCACAGTACTGATTCGGAAGCAGAAGGAAGCTTACGAAAGTGCGTTGATGGAATGGGAATCAGAGCGCGAGAAAGCGGCTGGGGAGAACTTAGGAAAGGAGGAGAAAGCAGACCAGTCGAATTCGCTGCTCTTGTTGGAAGATATTGAGGAGAGGTGGAAGGACGACTTCGACAAAAGACTCGGGCCCCAGGACGATTGAACTGTGTTGCTGTTTTGATCAGAGTTTTCGTCAGATAAGATTCAGATGTTGTGTACAATTCAAGACACGTAAGCAATACTCAGGTTGAGTCGTAAGGCTCGAGATTTAGTCACTGGAAATGAAAGACGTGTGCATGTTGAATCGCTGTAAACAATGTGTTGGTCAGCCGTATGGTATTGAAGCGTTTGATTGAACTAGCATTCTCAGTTATGCGAGTCACAGGCTGTAGGGAAGTTGCATCACTGGACGAGCTGTGGTTATAGGTATAATGCAGCAAGCTTGCAAGATTTGGTAACGTTTCTGTTGTAAGAAAGACGCATCGTCCTCTCAATTGTTTCTGACAGCCCATATGGCTTACGTCCTAAAACATTTTGCTTCGGTGGCGTTCTCACAAGGAAAGATCCTTAACGTAGCGTAACGGTGGAAATTCCTGCTGCGAAAATCCAGTCGATTCAAGCCGTTGAAGCACACATCAGAGTATTATCATGTCTTACATGTTTGTCTCAACCTTGAACCTTCAGAAGAGCCCATTCCTTAACGTTCTGCCCGTACGTGATCATCAGACACATGAACGGGGGCCCCCAATGATGTGCATCACTGCATCCAGCGACAAATATTATCGCGGCTGTGTAGTCTGCATCACCTCCAGGGCGCGCGGCCGCGCCAGTGGGGGGCCTGCCCACTGGCGCCGCCAGTCATCACCCAAGTTGGATGCTGTTGAGTTCCTCAACAAGCAATCATAATGTGCATCTTGTGTTGCTTACGTGTCCATAGTGAGCTAGGGCAGATTCGATTGAGACATGAGCTCTCAAGACAGCAAGTCGTAAAATCTGCAAGTGCACGAAACATAGGCGGCTAAGTAGCTCCACATGGAAACCGCCGGCAAAATTGCGCATGTCGTAAATCTGCATGATTTGCGACTGTCTACCTATGGTCTCAGAAAGTTGACGCCAGTGCGTTACGTGGCACCCAAGTTGACATGTTATACTCAAGTATCTCGATTGGATGCACTTAGCTAGAAAGACGTCATGCTTGTGCGAATCAAGGGACGGTTATCTGGACACTGGTCGCTTTTGTCCAAGCTGCATACGCGGTTTGCCAGGCTCGCATGTCTTTCGCTTGCATGCGGATTGGATTCCTATTGCTTGAAGAAAGTTTGGACTCACGTAATCAGTGACACGCGCCAAGATGATGTTGCGCATCCAAGCACCGAGAAAGAAAAGGTGAAAATCTTTCGAGACGACAGACTGCAAGCATGCTGAGTACGGACACTCTGAACCCTCTACAAATCAAACAGCCCCCTTCTTAGTTGCAATTGATGCAATGAACCAACTCGAATCCACGCAACAGGTTTGCCCTCCACAAAAGAAAAAGACTGACTTCGTGAACCTTTCCAATCGTGCATAAAGCGTGAGATGTAACAGATTTCCCAGCAGCAAAGTATACGAGCATTGAAGAGCGGAGCTATTCACTTAAGATGTGACGTTGTACGTCGCATCTGAAACATGCGAATAAGATCCTCGATGTATAACCAATTTACGGACCACCACCACCTAGCCTCGCGTCAAAGTCCTTCTTCAGCAGGTTTTCGAAAGCATCATCCAAAACCCCAGGCCGACTTTCACCTCCCTCAATCTTCCCAGACATTGTCTCCTGCAGTTCCGTCCGTTCACTCGTCCTCTCAAACTCAGCAAGCGCTCTTTCGTACGCCTCTTTCTGCCAGCGAATGAGCGCCGTTGCAACCGCCGCAAACACTCCTACGTAAACGACAGGCGACGACAGCAGAATTCTAAGCAAGGTGCTCGGGCCAAGTGCTTGGGACCTCTCGGCCGCTGCTGCAAGGCACCTCACCAGTGGAAGAATCATGGGGGCAATGTAGAGAAAGGCGACCAAAGTGCCCGGTAGAAGCTCCCACCGAGGGACCGGAACCGGAAACGGAACTTTGCTGGGAAGCGGCAAAATGACGATCCGCCGGAAGCTGAGGCCAAACGCGAACGGGTGAAGCCTCCACCCGAGCGAGGGGCACAACGCGCAGAACAGGTTGGTGATGAGAGACGAGTCCCCGGCCGGTTCGCACGGCGGCAGTCGCGCGCGCGCCGCGCGCTTCAACGTCGCCATAAGCGATTGGATCTCATAGCCGATGCTCGCAAGAAGCGCCAGGCAGAGAACACTCTCCCAAAAAACCCCGACAGTCACGGTCCATTGGAAGAAGTCGAAGGTGCTGCTTTCCACCCCGAAGGGGAGGGGACTGAGCGCGAGCACGAGCGCCGGGAGGGGCTGCGGCAGCGCGGCCGCGGCCGCGGCTAAAACCCCGGACGTCCAAACCCCGAAGCGTCCAGCGTGGCGCAGAAGCCAGAGGATTTCGTACAGGGGGGCAAGATACAGGCCAACGGTGACGGGAGCTTCAGCAGAACAGAGCACAGCTTCTCTATCGCGTGACCAACGTAGGATGCTACCAGATCGTCTGACGTCTGGCTGACGTCAGGGGCTGCTGGCGAGATCAGAAGCTCGGGGGCCTCCCACTGGGAGACTTTCGTTTCCGAGTTGTAGTAGAAGGTGAGCTGTTCTTCACGGTGATACAGGTTGTGCCACCCGGGTGGAAGCCCCGGTTGTCGAGGCTGGAACTCGCCCTTCTTTGCGTCTTCCTCGAGCGGATTATAAGCGATGGTAAACGAAACGACTGCCAGCACGAGCATCAGCGCGAGAGTGAAGAGGGTCGCGTCGCGGGCGCAGAACATGAGAGCCGCCGAAAGGAGAGAAACGCCGAAGAAGGAGACGGTGAAGAAAGAAAGTCCCCAATCTGAGCTCGGGGGATCAGCTGGTGGCTTTTCTAGCGGATTTTCGCTGCAGTTGGGACTACCAAGCACCAGCCTAGTGATTGTCAATGCCGCGGAGCTGTGTCCCCTATTCTGAGCAGCAGTAGAGAGCCAGCCGCACCTCATCTGACGTCCGTTCGTACCTCGAAGCCTGCAAGTCCCTGCTCCTTGGACTCTCCCATCTGTGACACCCCTTCCGTTCATCGGTTTTTTAAGAGCCCTGAAAGCTAATGATGAAATATATATAATAGCTGCTTTGCTGAACAAAGCCAACTTTCATGCTAGTTCCATAAGGCGGAGAGAAAGCCTCATTGCACGGCCTTGAAAGGTGACTCTTGTCCATCTTTTGATTTCTCCTCCCTACCCTTGACCTGATACAAGTGCTCCGCATGATCGCCACACCAGCGCCTCCATACAGCAGACTGCAAGACATGCTTGCCTAAGTTTTCTTTCGAGCAGGTTGCTCATATGACGTTGTGGCCGGCGTCTCCTTTCTGGCGGCAAGAATAATAAAAGTCAGAAAACGTGTGTTCAATGTTGGGGCTGCTGATTGTGAACTGATCAGGCGCCTTGGCCTAGTCTGTTTATGATGTGACGCGGACGCTGGTGACGCAACGAAGGTTTAAGAACGGAGTCTGGCCCCAGGCGGCGCGCCGGCCGGGTTCCAACTCAGCGGCCGCGCCGACCCTCAGGCGCGCGGCAGTGGCATGTGCGCACTGGTGCGCGCGCACACGGAAATGGCTTCACCGTCGACCTCGCCAAACCCTTCCACAGGCTTGAATCAGCGCGGCCGCGCGGCATGCGCGACGAGGCTCTTTGGCACAAAGTTTCATCTTCCTGCGCCTTTCATATTCGCAAAGCATCGTCCATCCGCAAGCAGCTGCGTTTCTGCCTAGTAGACACATAAAAACGGGGATTCAGAGTTGACTCTGCCGCCGCTGTGGTCAGGAAGTAACTTGCAGAAGGTCAGATGGCTGCGCTTACTCAAATGCTGACACAGCCAGTCTTGCTTGCTTACAAGGGCGTTGTTCTAACCCCACTTTCGAGCGTTGCTACGTGCTCAGGGTCTTTAGGTTCCTTGAAGACTGAAGCTTGCTGCAGCCTACAAACGATGACTTTCCAAGTCCAACGGAGGGAGACACAGCAAGTATCACGCGGTCCTCCTTGTGTAAAGCATTTCGGTCAATCCGCAACTCTCGGCAGCAGAGAAGCCAGATGCAGCTTCATGTTCAGGACCCTGAGAAGATCCACCAAACTCACGCGAGTCCGGCTCAGCAGCTTCGACCTCCAAGGCCCGCCGAGCGTCTCCAAGCAGAACAGACGGTTCCCTCTCAAGTCCCCCAGCACCGACTGGGGCCCCTCTCCTTGGCTCTTTCTCTATCTCTTCATCGTTGTAACAAGCTTCGATAGCCTGATTCACGACTTGGAGGTAGTCACACAAGAGCCCTGGCGCTTGCTTATAGACGCTGCGAATGTGTGGGCTTGTACTGGCAGCTGGGAGTGAGTGCCAAGAAGGGCCACTTCCAGCTGCGTGAGCCAGAGCTCTCCCCCGAATGGCACAACCTGTACGACCCAACCGAGGAGCTGACCTTCTACTACAACTCGGTCACAAAGGTTTCTCAGTGGACATTCCCCGAGCCGGGTCCCTTCGTCCCGGGCACTGAATTTGACGTCAACCAGACTTCATCCGACCTGGTTACGTCCTACCTAGTTACTGGAGCCAGGAGGACGGCGACCACGCTGCTAAAAGCCGCGGTCACCGCAGGGGTTTACGGCGGGTTAGCATACCAAGTTTACTGGTTATTGGAGCATTCCGCCCCATGGGATTGGCATCCCTTGCTTTTGGCCATTTCCTTCTTCGCCCTTCCACAGCCCCTGCCCCTTCTCGCCATCGCCCTTGGCTCAAACCCCTTATTCACACCGCTTCTACAAGGCCCTACCGCGGTCTGGTGGGAAGCCGCTTTGTCCCTGGCGCTGCTCGGGAGCCTGGTCCCCGAGACACAATCCCTGTTAAAGGTGCTAGAAGAAGCCGCCCGGGAGAAACTACCGCCCTGCGAAACGCGCGAAGACCTGTCTCTGCTTACGGCGCTCCTCCGCGCGCTGTGCCCCGGCCTCGGTTGGCGACTCCACCCGTTCGCCTTCAGTCTCAACTTCAAACGGATCGTCATCCTGCCGATGCCCCGGCAGCTTCCCCTGCCCGTCCCCGTCCCTGAGTGGGAGCTTCTTCCGCAATCGGGATTCGCCCTTTCGTATGCCTCACCCCTGATTTTACCCCTGGCAACCATCCTACAAACGGCAACACAACCAGACGCCCCGCCTTTCAATCCCGTCGAAGCTTTGAGTGTGGTAGTGTCATCTTCGGCTGTGCTCGTAGGCGTTCTGGCGTCCGTCACAACGATTCTCATTCGTAGACAGAAGGATGCGTACGTTCGTGCCCTTGAGGAAATCAAGGTGGAGGAAGCTTGAAGGAGGGAAACAAATATGTGGCCAGCAAACTTCGTTACAGGTTTGAAATAGTAGGCTCGTAGCCACATACGGAAATTATACAAATGAACCCAGGTCGTTAATGCTACCTTCGATTGCAAAGTCCACAGAAGGTGCCTAAAGTCCTTCATGTCTAGGAAACTAGACACTCCGTCAATGGTCGCTCAGCCTGCCCCATATGCATGAGGTCAAACTTCAAAGGTACTCGTCCATTATCTCATTCCAATTGTCACGATGTTTGCTTCATCGTATGTGCTGGGATTAGTATGCGCACAAGACCTTTCTCTCTCAGGAATCTGCTACTAGTTCCCTAGGCAAGAAGCCCAGAGAACACGTAGGTCGGGCATCCGATTTGCTACGGGCTTTAAGGCCGCGATCGCAGCTGCTAGGCTATTCATAGTTGTCCCGCTAAGATTCATAAATTGGGCAAAACATCAGACATAAACGCCGATACGGGAATGTTATAATTGTGAAGCCGCCTGCATGAAATTGACGGCACAATCTTGCAGGTGCCGTACATCATTGTATTGCCATCATTATCGAAGCCATTTGCTGGCTGAATATGTATGGTGCACGTAACAGCGTTATAAGCGATATCGACAGCCCGGCCTGATATATATCGGTCTTCAGTTCACCACAGAACAATCGGCGCTTTCACGTACTGCAATGAGCAGCTCGAGCGGATACTATGATAATGGACGAAAATTGCCGCTAGCAGCACACACGCAATGACAGTACGCTCTGTAAGCAGCAAGAAGCCAGAGATTTCTGCAAGGCCGTCTGGTGCATATTCGATAAGCAAGCGAGTCGCTTAACCAACGCACCCCGCCGAATATTGACCAACGAATGGTGTAGTTAGGGACCTCGCCTCACGAAATCAAGAAGCCACATTAGATTTAGTTGGAAAACCTTATGAAGACTGGATCTGGCTTGCAACATCTGCCGACAGCAGCTTTCAAGGAGCCGACTTGACGTCAGTAAGGCATACTGGAATGGTCACGAACCGTCCTTTCAACACATTAATCACCGGTTGCCGTCTGGCAAAAGTTGAGCCGCTTCCACATGAAGCCCGCGTCGCAATGGAGTTCACAATTCTAGGCAGTAGCAATATACACAGCAGTTCTACATTCTAGTATCAGATCCTTTTGTATCGGTCCTAACAAGGGCAGTCGGCCCCTCCATTATTCGAAGTTCGGCTCTTAGAAGGTTGCAGCCGTCCCATCGGTGACCTGAAACAATCTCAACCTGAAACAAGCAGCGCCCTTACGGCTTAGTAGTGAAAGAGCCTTGGAAGAGCCAGTCTGACAATGTTCGACTGTCTACGACGTACGGTTTTGACGCGTTGCGTGGTACGTACGATCTCGAGCATCACGTGGTTCGCACATGGTCGGGTGGACGACCTTAGTACGTCTGCAGAAATTGACGAAAGTGGATTAGAAGGACACATTGAAAAGGTTTCTCTCCTGAAATTGCAATTGTGTTTCCGCTTGTCTGTTCCTCCCGCGGCCCATTTGCGCATCCTGGCCAATCTGCATACGGCTGCGCCGTCCGGATTGTTCAGGCTACATCGCTTCTTGAGCCGAAAACACAAATCTGCTGCGGAACAATTTTTGAAACAAAGCAGAATTGGGTCAGCCACCAGTCAGACTCCTACAGACCCGGTCCATGCATGTGCAAACACGAGCAAAGAAATGAGAAGAAAGATGGACACTTAATCCGTTTACCTCGTGCACTTGCTTCCTCCGTTGTGAACCGGACGTGTCAAGACAAAACCTGACGATCATCTTTCAATCTGAGATAGTCGCTGAGTGCAGCTCCAACCAGGAACACGAGATTGTCATTGTTCGAAGGCCACATCAATCAAGTGAGGCTTTGGGATGCCTTTTGGCAGAGCAAGCTGGCCTCATCAACGACCTAAACACTTGATTATTTCGCTTGTTTTAGGCAGGGTGGGCTGGCTGTATCACTGACTACGTAGAGGAGCAAGAACTGGGCCTTGGCCTCCCTTGAGCTTCGAAGTTTGAGCGTTGGTCCTTCTGGGGCGTTATTCCTTCTAAGTGTTACTTCGTTTCTGTGCTGACTTGTTTGGTGCTACAGGATCTATTGAAATCGTTTCACACTCATTGGAGAGATGCCAAGACAACATCCTGCATCATGAGTGCAGCTTCAACCAGTGAGACTCACTCAGGGCTTCTTCCATGGCCGACGGAACGCTCAGACATTTCTTGATGCCAAGCCTCCATCGCTCGCAGCTACTTACCGGAAGATAATGCCAGACGTATCAACCAGCACAAGCACACTACTAGCTACCAGCTAAGATTCGTCCGTGCTGCATTCGTTGTATCAAAAGGGCGTTGCTTACCTGCAATAGACAGAGAGTCACCCTAATTCGGCTGCCCCATCAGCTAAGGTGCTGAGCCCTCCGCACCGCCGCTGTGATCTGCTCCCTCAAAATCCCCACATCTATCCCTTCATCCAGCTCAACCAGCGCTCTTTTCAGTCGACCCGCTTTCGTCTCAATCAAGATATTTCCGGGGGGTCTGTAGTGCGTGTGAATGAACTCATAGTCCCCCCAAAAGCCAAAGTATCGTCTTGCGTCGGTGAAGATTCCAGGGAGGGATGTTCCTACTCGTAACCCCCAGTGCCACTTGTAGTCTTCGTAATTAAGGAGAGGCAGCTGGATGTCATTCAGGGGGATGCTTGTAGGCAAGAAGACGAGGGCAAGCAGTTTGTCCAGGAACGAAGTGAAGCTCAGCTGAAAGGTGCTTTCTGTGATCTCAATCTGCATGGTTATTTCGTGCAGCTGGGGTTTGCTTGCCGGCATTGACCATCGAAAGAAGCAGACCCCTGCAGCGGCAAAACCACAATGCTCTGCTGGAGGATGCTGAAAAGCTGTGTCTAATGGTGCAATGCCAGTGCTGCGAGCTCAATCTGGATCCACACATTCAGCTCGTAATCTAGACGCGCGCGTACTTTCGATCAGCTGCTAGTAGCTCAGGCTGGGTTGCGTAGGTTGGCCGCTAACCAGGAGGACTACCGGTTCTACAAGTCCAGCCGGTTCTCCTTCTTCCCGGCCAATGGTGTGTACATTCTGCGAGGAGGTATCATAGGCATCATAGGTGTAATCGGAAGCTCTTTTCACTAGGAAAAGCTCTGATTTTTACAAGGCATAGGCTAGCTGATAAGCGTCTAGAGAAGAAAGCAGAGCTCTTGTCAACTTTCAAGAATTCCAGGAATCCGAGAATGAGCCCTGAAGGTGAAGAGATTCACCATTTATAGGTTGAGCTCGGATCCTCAGATCCGAGCTCACGGCAGACCTGTGCAGACTGGACAACATAGCTAAGGCTGAGCAGCAAGAGTCTCAACGTTCCTATTGGATAGACTAGCCGTTAATGGCTTAGAATGAACGAACACGAATATGACAGATTATGATCGACGGCTTATAATCGTCCAAAAAGGATACTGAGCTGCCACGTGTTACAGCTAGTCCCCCCCCGAATCCTCGGCAACGTCCTCGTTGCCAGCCTGTTCTTCGCTAAAGGAATACTTTTCAGAGCCGTCGATTTGTGCCACGTGAACATCGACCGCAATGCTCGATCTAAACTCGACTCGACTTTAAGCTCAAAAGAGAGAGAAGGAACTTCGTATTTCAGCATTCGGAGTTTGAGCTGGAAGGAGTTTCAGAAGAGCTTTTTGGGGCGCTGGACACCATGCAATTTGCGCGATAGAAATTTGGACAGCATTGTGAGAAAAGAGTGCATGAACTTACAGCAGTGGGGCGCAGCGGGTGAGGGGCACAGGGCGCCCGTCCAGGCCCTCGAAAAAACGCCATTCAAGGTTGTGGTGCAAGCCTTCGATGGAAGAGACTTCTCAGCCCTGGAAGCAGATGAAGAAGTCAGCGACTCGCTCGAAAAGCAGCTTTTCCTGAATGTGGCCAAGAGGAGACTCAGTGATGCGTTCCTGAACGCTCTAGGTCCGGCTCTGGTCGATGCGGTTGGGGAATTTGACGCATGCCAAGGTGTGGAGTTTCCTGACTACCTCTTTTTAGAATCGCTGAAGAGAAACTCGACCAGCTCGGGCTGCTGACCAGGCAAGACAGGGCAGTGCTGTCAGATAAACTCAAATGGAGGCTTCAGGCTACGCAAGGAAGGTACCAAACCAAACTGGCAGAAGAGAAGTGTGCTAGAGCTGAGGCCAGGGACGAAGACTTCAGGAGAGTGCACATTCTCGTCAGGAGAACGCGAGCGCAATTGGCAGGAGAGGAACTGCTCGAAGTGTTTGGCTTCCAGGCTGCTCAGGAAACCCCGTCAGACACCTGGTGGTTTTCGCCGGAAGACAGGAGCC